TAGTCTGATCTATGCCACAGTGCCGGCAATCGGAGTGTAGGACACTAGTATAATCTATTGTGCAAAGAATTGAAATTGAGCGCGCATCTAACCTAGATCACAATTTGGATGACTGAAAAGACGTAGGCCACTTGGAAATAGTTTGTTGCACAGGACAGTTATGTTGCTTAGAAGTTATTTATTTGCTTTATAAATTATTAAATATTAGATATATCAAGGTAAAACACCATATATAAGGTTAAGAATTATAGTACATAAATATATAAAAGGTTTTTACAAAAAGACAGAGTTATAATAAACTTAGACTTCATCTTGGGTAGATTTAATATAGAATTGTACTAGAAAAGTAGTTACACGCGAGTTAGTAGTAATATAAATCGTATAAATATAATTGCGTACATTAATGCGTAAACGTATACATCGATAATTGTTACAATAACAACATCATTCATCTCAAGAGAATATCAGGATAGTCAGAGGTAAGTGAAACATTTGTTTATATAATAAGCTTATAATAGATCCTTTACTGAAGAACATTTTAGTAATAAACAATTAGAACAAGATAGGTCATTGAGAGTAAATTAAAATATTTTTATAAAAACACGATATTTGTGAGTCGCCGGAAATTGGTGTGCGCGTTTCTGTGCAGGAGCTAGGTAGTGACCCTTCTTTGTAATTCCATCTTATTCATATATTAGACGTTTTTACACAAGCATACATACCCCGAGATCCCTTTCTATTTCATTTTATTGTAGTCACTGCCGGGTATCTATAGCCACTTTTACTTTCCATTGGTGCCCATCTTTTTTACACTACGCCCGCTACGTTTATTATTTCCTTATTGGCCACCTGTGTTACATTTCTTTACATTTCTTCTCTTTCACACCCCGAACCCCAAACACATTTAACAACATTCCTTCGCCACCTTATTATAGCCATTTTTATTTATTACATTCCTTCCCTACCTACACTCACTCGTCTCTCTTGTGTTTCNCACTCTCGTGTCTCTTTTTGTTTATTACACTCAGTCGTCTGTTAATTGGATTGCTATTAGTGAACGTGTTCCCGAAGCTGAAAAAGCTGCTTATTTAGCTTTTAAAGCTAAATCTGATGGGTACCTCCGAAAGTATGTAAAGATCATTTTTGACCGAATCAAATGTTTATCGCTAAATATTTCTTAAATTAAAATTTTATAGATTAATATAATGTGATAAATGAGTAACAAAAAAAATGATATAAATTTATATTACTAATGTATATTTTAAACATTGAATGGAATAATTNTGACTAATATTTATTTTAAACATTGAATGGAATAATTTTGCAGAATGTTTGCATTATCGATATAAAAAAATACCAATATTAAGGATCGAGGAAATTAAGAATTTGTTGCCATATTCCCAAATGACTTATGTTATAATTCAAAAATAATAAGCAAAATAGGTAAAAAGTTGGTAAAATATAAATGATGAAAATGAGCGATGGATATAGTGAGAACCTGATGTTGTGGTTCTAGCGGGGTCGTATTGTTCGAGGGTTTAGAACGACAAAGACAAGTAGATATAAAAATATATGTTAAGTTCCTCTTATAGAGGTATAATAAACTTTTGTCTGGTTAGTTTCTAATGTCCTAACTAAGAAGCAACGAAACGGCGAAGCCAGTTTACGAATACCTCGGCAACGAGACGGCAGAGCCCGTCCACGAATACCAGAGCCTAATTTATACAGTAGAAATCACGCTCGGTTTTTTAAAACATCAAAACGGCAGAGCCAGTTCACGAATACCATATAACGTGATTATGTATAACTTCTTTTACCAACCAGTCAAAATTGACACTTTAAGATATTAATTTAATAAATGATCTATTACTTTGTCATCCTTTACTCAAAATTTATTAACTCCAAATAATTGGGATAACATAATATTACTTAATTCTTTTATTCTTGCAAATTGCTGTAAAATGATTTGATAAATATCTCGATATGTTTATATATGTTTAAAAGTATTTAATTCGCACTTCTTCAAAAGATAAATAATTAAAACAAGTTCTTTTCATATATAAATAAAACGCGTAAAAGTCAGCCGACAACAACACAGGTCTGTGACTGATAATTGTTACTTTTTTTATTCTTATTTCAATCCGGATAAAACGAACTCTCTCGCCCGCTATCACTCCTTGGAGTATCCCCGGAGTCTCTCTCTGACTCTCTCCGACTGAAAGGATTTCAGTGCTTTTTATAGTAAAATGATAGTACCCCCAATCCAGGAATATTGTTGTCAGCGCTTTTAGTGATCTTTTTAGTTTATTGTATTTAATTATACATTACATGATTATTATGTTGAGATAACATATTTAACAATTGATAAATTGACATATATATAAATAATAAGAAATTGTGTTGAACATCGTATTTGTTATAACAGATAAATTATTTGTTTGTTTACAAGTTATTTAAAATACAAATTATACATTTTTCATTGATAATCGTAAGATGCGTAATGCAAAGCATTGAGCATATTACGACACTTATGAAGATGAATAATGATAAGAGAATAATGTCTAATTATTCTCTTATGAAAATTACAGATGCAGGAAATAGAAGAATTTAAAAAGGTAGCTGCCTCTAATATTAAAGTAGCAGAATTAAGGATCGAGGAAATTAAGAATTTGTTGCCATATTCCCAAATGACTTATGAAGATGCTGCTTATATTGAGCCTGATTTGACATTAGATCTTGAAAACAAGCCTCATCAAGAAATTGATTATGTATTTGACGAGCCACAAGAAGAAGGGTCAGGAAAACAAAAAAAAGCTGAAGCTGGTCATTAATTTATTCATTTTGTTAGTTACATTATAATTTCCAAGTGGGCTTTTTATTAATAATTCGGCCTGTAACAACAACGTGGTTTCCCACTTGCATAACGACTAGCTATAGTAGCAAGGGTCGCCACCACCTAGGCGAGGTGTCACATCTATCAGATATGATTACCGGACCATAGGTGGAATTTAATTTTAAGTTAATTAAAAGTATAATCTAATGTTAATATGTCGTTTAATGTATAAATTACTATAATACCTCATGTATTATTAAACACAATTATGACAATTAAAGTTGTTTGTGGTTGATATGTAAAACATATCGTAGCCCGTGTCTAGATTAAAGAATAGGGATAAATACACGCGAGTAATTAAGTTACTCGCGCAATAAAATAAATATTACAGTTGAAATTAATAAGGAAATTTAATTTAATTGTTAAAAAAAGAAAATTAAGTTAAACATGGACAAAAATGCGAATGCATCAAAAACCATGTCTACAAATAAAGGCAATACAAATAAAATAAAATATTTAAACAAATAATATTACAAACATCACGGACGGTATTGGAACACATCCGTTAATGTTAACAGGAAATTAATGAAGAACACCAGGAGCGGTCTGGACACTCGCTCCTTAGCGTTGGCTAGAAGAAAAAGGAAACAAGTGCTCTCCACATACAAACAAAATTAAGTTAATTTACAATAAAATAAAATGAAATAAAATAATTAATAAAATATAGCTCCATCATTGTAAAAAAAGTGTCAATAAAAAAATAAACGTGTGCACTCTAGCACGGTCAATGACAGAAGAAAAGAGTAGAGAAGAGTCAACACCGATCTAACGGCAATTTCAAATCGATAACGGCCAGTCTTTTTGGAAGGGATCAATACTGATAAACAATACGATTTTAATTATATTTCTCTTTTATCGCCTTATCTAGCGGTCAGCGGTAAAATAATGAGTGGTTGACACCGCTGTGTCAGAAAAAGGTTCTTTCGCGCGATAAAATAAATAAGTAGACATAACAAAAAANTTTTCTTCTTTATTTAATAAATAAGTAGACATAACAAAAAATCACAAACGGTCCACCTTCGAATTTGTGACGTTACAAATTTTACCCAATTTTCAAAAAATATATTGGAATAAATGTTTATATAAAAGGAAAATATATTGTATTATTATTNTATAAAAGGAAAATATATTGTTTTATTATTATAATTATAAATTGTTTAATTTCATACAGTGTGATCACAGCAATTCTCATGCACCAATATCATTAGTGATATGAAAATTACAGAACTATCTTATAAAGTATGTACTCCAATGAGAGTCTTTTCTTCCAGATTTACTTTAAAATGCCTCTAATACATTATATTGTAATGATTAAAACAAATAAATATCTATGCTCGAAGGACTAATGAATGAACGCAGCGCCCGTTATTATTCCGGTCGGTGCCATTAACGATCGTTGTTTTATTTTATCTTAAGTCTGACTATGTCGAATAAAAATAATAGGGTGACTGGACTGTATGAATAAAT